CGTAATGACTGGGCGCATTGGTAAGTTTATAAACAAAAGAAAAAAAAATCCAATATCTATATATCAAAGCTAATTTGTTATGCTGCAGCTGATAGCCGGTCCCAAGTGCAAAAAGCGCGTTATGAAGCGGCCAACTTTCGTTACAAATTCGGCTATGATATTCCAGTAGATGTCTTATGTCGCCGCATAGCAGATGTTAATCAAGTCTATACTCAGAACGCTGAAATGCGCCCTTTAGCATGCAGTAAGTAACCACTGCCCAAATTGTGTACATACCTTTTAAGAAATGTATTATGCGTTTTAGGTATGGTGCTTATTGCCTATGATGACGAATTGGGGCCTGCTGTGTATAAGACAGATCCTGCCGGTTATTACTGTGGTGTAAAAGCTGTCGCAGTCGGTGTTAAGCAACAAGATGCCAGGAGTTACTTGGAAAAGAAATTTAAGAGTGATTTATCTACAGAGAAAGTAATACAATTAGCCATTACATGTCTGTCCCAAGTTCTTCAAGTTGATTTCAAGCCAAATGGTATCGAAATCGGTATTGTCACAAAGGATTCCCCACAATTTACAGTGCTAGATGAAAAGGAAATTGAGGACCACTTGACAAAAATTGCAGAGAAGGATTAGTTCGGGGAAATTAATTTATACATTTCATAAGTTAAGATTTTGGTTAATTGGAGATGTCATCTTTTTTAATATGACCAAAATAAAAATGGCGTTATAATCTGAAAAGCTATGAAAGATATATCTACCGTAACAGAAGCTGGAAAACTGGCAGGTTAAATGTTAAGATCAGGAAATTCTCACACAAGCGGTTGGGCTTATAATTTAATTTTGCAAAATACTTTTTTTTTTAAATTCGTGCTTTTTATTATATTTTAAATTTAAATCAGCCAGACATTTTATGTGCTGCATAATCTATTGATTAGTTTTAAAAACTTAACAGCCAATCAAAGCTATTTCCTTACCACTTATTCATGTACTTCAGCGTCATAGCGCGCCACAAAGGCAGCCATATCAAATTTTCGTTGACAACCTTTGTAATTCATATAACGTACTTTACCAAAGATTGGCCTCGGACGATAGCCTCCATCATGTAAGCCACCAATCGCCCACATGCAACCTGGAACGATAATTTCTAATTAAATAATTTCCGCCGGCCAGTACCTCATTCCATAGTAACTGAGTATAAACTTACCTACATAGCCGTTTGGATCCCGTCCATCTAAACTGTATTTGTCATTCAAGTAGATAGCAATTTCTAAGGCTTGTTCCGGCGTAGCAGCCCATTCAAGTATCTTTTTTGCCCAGTACATGCGTAGAAAACCATGCATTTTGCCTTCATTTGCCAATTGAATCTGTGCCGCATTCCAAAGATCATCATGTGTGTGGGCCTGCTCGAATTGGGAAAGAGTGTAAGAAGGATTGCGCTCATCTGTGCGATGCTCATCGAGTGTTTTAATCGCCCAGCCATATAGGCCCTTTAGATTGTCATAATTTTCATTATAATAACAGAAATTGTCTGCCAACTCTCTATAAATGATAGCTGCATCGCAAAACGCCTCTACAGATGCTTTGAATTTTGAGGTGTAGCGCATCACTTCAAGAATACAACGCTGTACAGAAATTTGACCTGAAACCCAATTTATAACTATTAAGTAAAAGCCATTTTATGAAACTACATCCTAATTCCGATACCAAAATGAAACCATGGCGACAGTCCAGACTGCGCATCTATGGTAGGATCGTTGCGTTTTTCGTTATAAAGACGTAAACGTTTCGTACAAAAGCTTTGTAGCTGCAAGCATGCCGCACGATAACCTGGTTTTGCCCACTCTACTGCTTTCACCGAGCGATCGCACTGAATCTTAGATAGAATCGCCTTCCAATCCACAGATATGCAGCTATTCATCACACATTTATTGTGAGGATGCTTTGTTACTGGTGGAAATTCAGTAAGGAATGCCTCCAGTCTCGAGTTAATTCTTCGGCGCATAAAGAAAGGTACAAATTCCTGTTTATCTGATGTTACCCACAGCGGCACCACATTGTGTGCATCGACTTGGGTAAATGGAACATCTACTGGCAGCGCTTTTTTTACATTTTCCACATGAAGCTGTGCTTCACGCAACGGGTTGAAATCACATACGACTGCACTAATGTTGTGCAAGCGCACCATTTCTGACAAGCGCTCATCGACTTGGCCGATTAATAAGTGAAACGGAATGCTAAGTTTTCGACATTCGCATTCTACTTCATCCAAACCGCCCATTAGGAATTCATACTGTCGCAGTGTAGTGTTCAGATGACCAGGAATGAGACAAAACGCAATTAGAAATGGTAGTTCGAATTTGAGTGCCAAACGTTGAGCAAATAGCAATGCCCAATTATCTTGAACGCGTGCGTCCCGTGACATCCAATAGAGAACACCTCCACAACGAGATTCACTTACTTTATTTTCGTAACTTAGTACACGAACGCGCTTTTTGATGAAATGAAATTCGGAAATGCTCCTTGCGGTGTCCAAACGGCGTTGTTGGAGAGACCTTGGTGATATGATGTGTGACGTTCTTTTATCGGTTTCGCTGCTTGGAGTATGATCGAATGCCTCTACGTCACTCGTCTCATCGTCATCACTTTCGTTGGAAGATGGATTTGAGTTTATGCCATGAATCTCATTGGAAGTTTTACTCATTGTACGCTTCATTTTATCGTTGGTAAAAACTAGCGTAGACACTTCCTAAGAAAATGAGCTTATTCCTGTTAATGGATATGTATTGTTACGATTATCCTCGAAACCTTGAGGGATTACCCAAATATAC